CAGAATGATTTGTAAAAACCAAATTTTTGTCCAAATGTACAGTAACTTATAAGATTTTTATGATTAGTATGTTATAATGAACAACACAATTGTATTTAATACTGACTGGTACTTAATTATGTATTTATAAATTTATTTTGAAAGTATATTTGTAATTATTGCACATTTGACATTTGGTAAACTGCCAATTTGAATAAGTTATCAACAAAACTTAAAAAAAAAGTGCATAAATACCGCGATTTTTAAAATTCCATCAATAGTAAATATTGACACTGTATTAATTAAAAAATTAAATCTACTATTAATTACTACAAAGTAATATACAATAACTTTTCATTTAAAATCACTAAATTGATATTCAACTGTACCAGCACCAGCACCACCATTTTGTACAAAGTGAAGTTATCTACGAACTTATAAAAACGCTTCACAACAATGGCGCGAGTTTCAAAAATATATTTTCAACAACTTATTTTTTGCTATAAATTCAATAAGTAAACCTTTAAATATTAAGTTTTCATTAAAATGTCTTATAATTTGGAACATAACCAAACCAACATTTTGTACAACGCAAAAATATCATCTTTTCACAAAACAGTGCAGGACTTCACAATGACGCAATTTTTAAAAATTAACGTATACATATTAAACCATCATCATGATTCTCATTTTTATTTAATTCTATCTATTTCTAATAAATCCGTCGATGTCTCCAATCGAACAATATATTATTTATATTTAAGGATAGAATATTGAATTAGTTGTAAATTAATTAATTGCTATTTATATAGAATAGGATATTATAGAATCACTAATGCTTTGGAATTTTAGTTACGAGTAGAAATTGGATAAATGTTTTTTTATCGAGAAGCCATCGGGGTAGTAAAATCTTTGTATATATATGTAATTTTATATATATATATATAAAAGATGATTTAAATACATATTTTGTCTTAACATTTAGTAATTTTGATATATATATATATATATATATATATATATATATATATAATTGTAATATTTTAAAGTGTTCTAGCCTAAGAATATTAATTTTCATTTATCTAACTTATATTTAATATTTATATATAAGTTTATAAATTTATATATATATATATATATATATATATTATGTATGTATATATAAATTTATGGTATGACTAATATAATATGAATATCGACTGTCAATTCCAAATTTTGTGACATAAAACATCTTGTTATTTATCTTTATGTTTTGTTTTAAATACATGTTTATAGTTTCTTTAGATAGTGGATATTATTTATTATTATATTTTTTCTAAACTCCCTTAAAAATGTCTTTATTTTTTGTTTCAAATACAAAAATGAATAAAAATTCTGTAGAGTAAAAAGCTTTCAAAAACTTCTAATATCTCTAAATATATCAGCATAATTTAATTTTTTTTATAAAAACCGAAACGAGTGGCAGAAAATAAATGCCTTTTATAAACGTTATACTTCTACAAATACATCAAGAAACATACAACAGGCACAAAACACACTTTTGACTTCTCACAGATAAAAATTTAAATACTAAAAAGAATTTTGCAGAATCAATTTTTATAAAGATGATTCCACAAACAATAAATTCAAGAACACACACACAATTCACCATACTTTTTTCCATAAAACTTATCAATTTAGATTTAGATTAACAAAAAAAAAACCTATAAAAACTTAAAAAGTTTCAGTCGTTCGATACATTTGCATCCATACATACACTCATCTCTAAACTCTAATGTAAGTATAAAAACTTATAATTTTAAGTGTAAATTTTTAGTAAAACATTGTTAAATCTTGCAAATTTTGAATAATTAGAATGTGAACAAGTCTATAAAACAATTGTTTGTGTTTTAAATATATCCTGAAGACAGAGAGATCCAATATCCCCGAATAATGGCATATATAAATTGCGCCATTGCATTTTTACAGTTTAATGTCTTGTTGACTTCAAATAAACGTTTGAAGTCAACAAGACAATGGACAGTAAAGAGCGTTTTTAACAATAGTTGCAAAATGACGAGCGTTTTTATTATTCCTGCTAAAAAAAGCGATTCAGTGGAAAGTGGCTGTGTTAGAAGAAAACAGGGTTAACCATCTATCAAACAATTATAGAGAACTGACAAAAAATTTTGGCAAAAGTGATTTAGAAGACTACATACAGCAATTTCTTGATGTCTACTATTATGTTACAAAACACTTGAACGCTTTGGATTGGAAAAACATCACTTTTTACTCCGAAACCTTGCAAAAAGTTTAGTCTCAATTGAACACGAAATTAGATTTGTATTTTAGTAAGAAAATGTACGATGTCGTCAATGTTCTAAACAAGACTAAAATAGTTTTGTACATTACGAACGAGTTTATTTCTGAGCTAGAGAAAAAGTTCGATCAGAGAAAACAGAAGAAAAGCAAAGCAAAAAGTAATGCTGATGTATTATATAAAAAATCAGAAGCAATCCGTGAGAAGATCTTCCAGATTCTCGGTAACCTTCTCAAAAGCTACAATCATTCGAGCACCTTTGTCATAAAATTTGTTCACATCATCAAAAACACAGACATAAACTACCAGAACACATTGATACAAGGCGTGTTTCAAATCAAAGACAACTTTGACATCAATTCAATTGTTAGTATTCTCACCAAAGAAATTCTGGTCCTCGCCGAGAAAGAATCTAGTGGCGACAGCGTCAATTTGAAACAGATGATGAATTTTATAAATGATTTGGCAGTGGTGAGGCCCAAAGAAATGGTGGTAAAACAAAATTCTTTAAAGAAATATCCACCAAAGACCAAAATCTGTACAATGCTCATCCAGATATCATTTTTAAAATGACTGACCCTGCAATGAATTTGGTGGAAGCCAAGTTTCAGAAAATAATGAAGTCTAGTCTCAGCTATATTAGTGAAGATAGACACATGTATAAATAATTATATAAAGATTTAAGGGAGTTTTAAGGTCTAAAAAAATATAATGATAAATAAATTATCATTAGTTATTACTACAAAGTTGTAAATTAATATCAACAAATTTACAAAATAAAAAACATCAAACTAAAGTTTAAAAAAATATATAAAAATAAATAGTATTGACCCACATTAGCTTAAAATTATATTTTCTTCAAATTCTTAAGGTTTCATGAGCTTATTGAGTTGCTCTAGGGCCTAATAGTCAAAATTGAATACAAAATTATTGAATAGAAAAATGTGTGTGTGCATGGCTGTGTGTATGTGTAAGTAATACTTGAAAAAAAATGAATAATTATCTACAATTCCTAGTTATACTATAAATAGTACAATCGGCTAATGCAGTATCAAGTTAGTTCAATGTCACAAAATTTGTTTTTAATTCCTTCGAATAGTTTTTATACACTAAATAAATAAATACAAGCTTAATACAATACATGTATACAATTATCGCATATACATATAAATGTATCGCAGAAAAACACGCAGATGTCAAATTTACGTAACAAATACGTAACAGGAGAAACGATACAGATCCGTAATACAGTTTTATACATGTTGCAAGTGTTACGTTTATGAAACGTTTCGAACGCGTGAACAATAATATTCATAAAATTTATTATTATAATATAATAATATTTATAAATTTATATTTAATATTATAAATTTATCTTTGTTTGTCACATGAATGTAATACTGTGTCAAATGCAGGTTTTAAATTTTATAATTGAAAAAGGTTTATGAAATTATGAAGAAATATAAATGCTACTATTTTAACATAGCAACGTAACAAGAACGACACAAATGCGTTGTTTAGATCCAGTTACGTTGCAACTATGAAATCTGTCAAAAGTAATTAAAATACTACGTTTATCAGGTTTTGTTGCGTTCTTACGTTAAAACCTGTGTTATGTAATGTGTATTACATTTTCCCTAAGTTACGTAACCGTTACGTTCCTGGTTTCACTGCATATACATTTACACATACATACATTCATCATAATCCTATATGAATTTTAATTCATAATAAAAAGCTGAGTAATATTAATAATCCTTTTTATCGAAACAGCCATATTATCAATATTCAAATTAAAGATGTGTGCATCGTCAGTTATTTTTTATCCTTATTTAATAATAAATATATATTTTTAATCTAACCTAACTACAAGCAACTGTTTTTTTTATTTCAACTTCATTTTCTTTTCAACAGTTGTTTGAATAATTAGTAATTAATAATTAATAATTAATTTTTTAAGCGTCATTTTTTTCAACTCTGTTTATTGAAAAGATTCAATGGTGACATTGTGAAAGAGAAAATTTATTTAATTGTCTTTTTAGTTGTCGTAGGGGGATTGATTTGTTAAAATAAACTGGTAAAGGATACATTATAATAAAATTTATATATATATATATATATATATATATATATATATATATAAATATGGTTTAAAATTGATAGACAATATAAAAAATTAAACATTTGTCATTTTGTAACTGGTCTAATTATATTAGACTAACTATATTTAATAAATATGACAATATTAGTGATTTTTTTTATATAAGTAGTACAATAGGATAAGTATCCTTTACCAATTCATTTTAAAAAATTGCTTAAAACAAAGCAAACCGTTTGCTTCTTAATCTATAGTAATTTATTTCGACTAACTACTTTGGAATAATGTAGTCGAATAGGTAAATCGATAAAATCGAAACAACCTTTTTTATATTTAATAAATATTTTGACCAGTTTGTTATAAGATTTTATGTTTCTAGAGTTATAATAATAAACTTGATATAGGAAAGTTTCTGTTGATAGATTTTTTATAGCCATTTCACAACCTGAATGCAAATATTTTATATCTATGCTTTGAAATGAAAGTTGATATCACTACTGCATGATATCAGGTTGTAAGGATAAAGATAAAGGATATATATATATATATATATATATATATATATATATAATTATCTGTTGATAGAAATCCATTATTACTATTATAACTCTAACTACACTTTACCTTTTTATCATATTTTATATCTTATAATTTATCTTTTTACTGAGACTGTGGATCACATTGCAAAAGCCTCACAATGGAAGGATCACTCTTGGCTCCCTCGATGAACTCTTCAAGACTCAGTTTACCATCTTTGTTTCGATCCATCTGTCTGAATATTTTATCTGTCCGCTTTTCAGGGGTGCTTTCGTCTTCTGGCATCTTCATCACGCTGCCCACCATTTTGTAAATGGCCTGAATAAATGAATGAAAAATTGATGGAGGAAATATGTTATTTAGGGACTGTTTCTGTCGCATAATAGACCAATGTTATAGCAAGGCTATGTTATAAAGAACATTTCATACTAAATATTGACAAAAGCCATGTGGTTAGATAGAAAACCTAACCAGTCAAAAAAACAAGGTTAGATAACAGAGTCTTTCTGACCCAGCTTCATAACATGCAAGTGACATTGCAGTTTATGTGTGAAACTGCCTGAATGCATAACACTGACAGTATTCAGTATGATTCAATACCATAATGCATGAAAGTTGGAGCGCAACATGGCCTTGCCATAACATTTGTCTATTATGCTCGGTCCCTTATTTTAAATACCCATCGATCCTTAATCTTTATCTTTTATACCGTGACAATTTCCAGCATCTCCTGCCTGCTGATGTATCCATTTCCGTCCAGGTCGTACATGGAGAAGGCCCACTTCAGCTTCTGCTCCAGTTTACCCCTGGAGGTGACAGAGAGGGCGCAAAGGAATTCCCGGAAGTCGATTGTTCCGTCGCCATTTGCGTCGAATGTCCTGAACACGTGCTCCGCAAACTAATAAAGGATAGTTATATTTTAATAAGAACTTAAACAAAGGTATTTGTGCATCGAGTTTGTCTGTCTATTGGCAATATCCTTATATAAACTTGGACACAGGGCCGGTCCTGCCTTGCATGCGATGCATGCAAAAAATGCGGGCGCAAAGCCTTAGGGGGCGCCAAAACGAGTTTCGGAAATTAAATTTATAATATAATATTTATATTTTTTATATAAAATCTAGAATTATTTAAAATGCAGAATACTTAATAAATTATAATAAATAATTTACCTTAACTAGGGACACGGAGACACAAAAGGCATATTTATTTTGCAATGTGATATCAGTGGAAACAATTAACCGATTAATAATTCTGCAAATTAGTAAATAACAGCTCCGTTTATTGCTTAATCTACTTATTGATTTTTTTCTTTGTTTGAAGTTACTGTGGAATCGAAAAAGAAATTATCTAGTGTTCAATCCCATAAGTGCAAACCTGCAAAAGATTAAATTAATTGTTGGGTATTATTGACGAAAAATTGCGAGCTGATTTAGTTGAATCGGAACTTGTTAAAAAAATTATAAACAAATTATAAAAAATGCGGAGTCAGTGCTTAGAAAATGACTTGTTTATTCCGAGAAATTGAATTGTAACTTTTGCTTTTGTTGCAAATGTTTCGCATGTTGAACTTTGAATGTTGAAGACACGCGTGACACAAATATGAAAAATGGAAGCAAAATTTACTTTGAAACGAAAATTTTAAGGCTTGTTTTATACCTAGTGGAGTCCATACTCTAAATTTAATAATTATTGACTATACAGAAATAATACATATCAAATATTAAGTTTTTTTTCAATATTGTTCAAGAAATGTGTAATTTCTTTGCATTTTTTTTACTGATTTTTGAACAATACTTCTAAAATACGTTAAAAATTTAACTTTAAAACAACAAGCTGATATTCTGAATATGACGGCTCTTACGATATCAATAAGGAGAAGTTTACGACGCAATTTTGGATATTGTAAATAATGAAAAACTAAATTAAATTAAAATTTAAAAAATCCAACATGAAATACATGTGTCATGTTTGAATATTAAATGCTAGTTTTTTTTTAAATATTAATATTGCAGATACGTTAAAAATAATTGAAAATTTAAAAATACTTGATTATAATCAACAATCGCCTCGATTTTCTAAATAAATTTAAAATCAATATATTTTATACGCTTTTAGATTATATCTAATTTTTTGTGCACTAAATCCAGAATAATTAAAAATTAATTTATTTATTACACTTAATATTTTTGTTAAATTAAAGTTATAGAATTTAAGAAATGCATTTCAGAAATAGTATTTATTATTTTGATATCAAGATCTTTATATCAAAATAATAAATACTCTTACTGAAATGCATTTCTTAAATTCTATAACTTTAATCTAACAAAAATATTAATTCTTTTGCTATGGTAGTCGAACTTACATCCTTAACCAATTTACTACATATTGAATATTACTAAAATGTGAAATTTTAACAGGGATTGTTTTATTTATTGATATCGATAATAATAAATAAATTTCAAATCAATATACTTTATACCCTTCTAGATTATATCTAATTTTTTGTGTACTAAATCCAAAATAATTACGAATTAATTTTTAAAAAATATGTAAATATTTATGTAATTTTAATGATAAACTGTTAAAACGGTGAAAATTAATAGGGGGGGGGGCGCTAGAAAAAAAAGTTGCATGCGGGCGCTAAGGACCCCAGGACCGGCCCTGCTTGGACATACTTATAGACAATGCAATATTCTACTAATCTCTCTCAAACTTCCATCCAAGTCAACCAAACTGTTCAAAAACTACAGCAAATATACCATCTTCCACCATCCACTCACCTTACTAGCATCACCGTAAGGAAAAAAGTTTCCATAAATCTTCTTAAATTCTTCAACTGACAAATGTCCACTCGGGCAGTCTTTAAGGAATCCCTTGTACCATTCTTGTATTTCGGCATCCGAGAATTCCGTATTTTGTTTTAAATCCTCCAGAACTTCTGGTTTCAATTTACTATTCTGTTTCCCCATTTTGTAAAATATAGTTCAAACTTATCACTTAATTAATATTAATTAGTAACTATCACGATAATTAACTATCACACATAATAATATAAGAAGGAATGGTAATAAATAAATATATGTCTTTTGTTTAATTATAATAAATTATTTAATTACTTTATGAGTTCATCATTGTTATAGTTTTAATTAAAGTTGAATTTATTATTTATTAATATTTTAGTTTTAAACTTGCACCCAAGACGCACACCAGCGGGTCGCCATTTTGTATTTGAAAGAATTTTTAATTTATTTTATTTATTTATTTATATTAAATATAGGTGATCCGAGGAACTTGTAGATCTCTGCAAACACCTAAAAAATAAATAAAATTATTAATTACATTCATTAATTGATTTTTGTAATACTTATAATTATTATTAGGAATTGGAGCAGAAATCAATAATATGAATTGAATATTAAAAACAATATATTAACAAATATTTGTTAAAATTATATTATCTAAATTTCTATGAATGAAAAACCGTTGTTTTTTTTTAAATTAACTCAATTAATTAAATCAAATACTTAATTATTCATCACAAATATCAAATTATTATTAACATATTAATTATAAATTACTTTTCAGACAAATTGGTACAAAGTAAAAAAAACTTTTCCTTTAGATTGCAAAAATATATAACAAATAAATATAAACAATGTTGAGTATAAATTTTTACCTTTGATTAAATAATGTCTGAAAACATAAATACATTTTATACAACACGAGAACTGTCGAGATGATATATCATAGCCATTTGTTGTATATATATAAAGTAATTAACATTAATATAAATATTATTAATAATGTATTATATATATTTATATATTTTAATTATTTTAATAATTACAGATATGATTGCAACATTGACTCGACTCATATTTATAAATGAATATATATATATATATATATATATATATATATATATATAATATCCATTAATAAATACATCTTTACATCCAGATTTATATTTTATAAAGAAACATCATCGTCTTACAATTAAGTTTGATTTTTTCATTAAGCTCCTAACACTTAAATTTATACATTTATATCGAAGGACATGTTGTACATCGAAAGATTTAAAATAATTGTGCTCAGAAATTATATTTTGATAAAATAATAACATATATGCAGTAGAGTCCTGATGTAACAAATTGTAATGTAACATTTATTAGGTTTATGACCCGTTACTGCAACGCAACGTTACTTAGTTGTTACTTGTATTGAATTTATCGATATTTTGTAAAAAAATAATAATAAAGATAATATATCTAAATAAGAAACAAATGAGTACAGTATCTAATCAAGTTATTTTTAATCCAAATTCGATTTATATTTAATTTCAAATGGAATAATAAAAAATACTTAAAAGTTACGTCTGTGTTACTGTGATGTTGCACAGAACAATTCCTGCATCGACTCTACTGTATATATAAAATAAAACCTTTATTTATGACATTAACACAAAAATATTATTGGAAGCAATTATTTTCAGTGGCATATAAATAAAAAAAAATAATTATGGTGTTTCAGACGTTTCGACTTCAAATATGTGTCATCAACAAACATATTCATTATGTAATTAAACAAAGTATATTTTAAGTTTATAAAACTAACAAATGATTGTTTTAGGTTTTTGTTGTTATTGCAGACTTACAGAAGTGCGTTATGTTCAAATTTCAAGTTTGTAGTGCAAACTGTGTGTCCTGAAGAGCTCGTATGATTAAATATTAAATTTGAGTATTTATATATATAGCACATAATTTAAAAAGTCCTCTACACTTTCTCGTATTCAAAAAATATGACTCTTCCTCTGATAATTGTATTTGCATTGTAAATTATGACACATATCAGTTGTCGAAACGTCGAACAATTTTGCATCAATTCATTCCATCGACAAATAAATATCAATTGTTAACATTAATATTAAAAATTACATGCTATTAATATATTATATTTTATAATATTTCATTTATATATATATAGAATATCTTACATAGTTCTGTGCCCGTAACATTTACACATGGATATGATTTTTAAGATTAAAATCTTATTAATTAACAAAATATATGTATATAATATTTAATATCATGGATTTTTGTGCCTTAGGCCATTTTTAACTAATATTTAATATCTGTCGAGCCAAAAATAAATGATAAATAGTAAAAAATGTATTTTTAAACTATAGTTACGTGTTAGTATTAGTATATATAAAAACAACCATAAAAAATGAGGTAATTTGCCTCGTCTGATACAAAATAACTCTTGCTTTGCATTGCCCGTCACATCAGAGTGCCCAATTGCTTTTTTTCAATTCGTTAACGTTATGTTACATTGTTGTTACGTGTAATGATTTATCAGATATTATTAATACAGCGTTTTGCACTTAACTGCGAAAATATACTATCAAATTTTATAATAATTATAGTACAAATTGCCTATAGACATCACAGTGCCTAATTATGTAAATTTCGATCCAATTAACGATTTAAAATAATAAGAAAAATGAGGCGTTTGATGCAATCCCTCCTAAATTATACTGCGACGCATGATTTTTATTGCCGGTCACATCAGAGTGCCCAAACATTTATAAGAGTTACTTAATTGTTACATGTATTGAATTTAATAATTGTTTGCGATCAATAAAGCATTTTTCATAAATTGTTAAAATATTCTATCCAATTGAAAAAAAATAGTATGACGAGTTACCTATTGCCTATTACATCACAGTACTCATTTTTCTAAATCCTTGTATTGTTAATGAGTTTTTTATTATAAATATAAAAATATTAAAATGATTGGTAAATATAAAAAAAACGTGAAAACTATAGTAAAAATTAAATTAGAATGCATTTTGTTTTACCATTTATCATTTATCCCCAGCTCAACTCTAGATACCCATTAAAATTACAACTATGAGTATACTTTTATAAAAATTGTGCAGATTTTAGATTTTCCCTAAAAACGTCTCGGTCTACGACAAAACATTTATAAAGCAGCTAATTTACATTGTGATCCTTTTTTAACTAGTTTGTCAGAAAATAGGAAAATAGTGCTTTACTATTTTTTTAGAATATAGTGGTAAGAAGATATGATAGAGAGAGAGCTTCATAGAAAGAATCGACTCAGGAAAAATAAATGTTAGAGGTCTTCGAGAAGGAAAGAGAAAAATCTTCTCGAAATGAGAAGAATCATTTCAAAAAGAAAAGAACTTGCTAAAGAGAAAAAAAACCCGAAAGCAAGACCTTCTTGAAAAGGACAGAGAATTCTTAAGAAAAGCGTACTTCTCAAGAAGTAAGAGACCTCCTGGAGAAGATAAGGACCTTCTTGAGAAGAACATGACCTTTTTGAAAAGAAAAGGACCTTCTTGAGAAAAACAGGAACTTCTTGAGAAGAACAGGATCTTGAGAAAAACAGGATCTTGAGAAAAACAGGATCTTGAGAAAAACAGGAACTTCTCAAGAAGGAAAAGACCTCCTCAAGAAGATAAGGACCTTCTTGAAAATAAAAGGATCTTCCTGAGAAGAACAAGACCTTCTTGAAAAGAACGGGACCATCTTGAGAAAAACAAGATCTTGAGAAAAACAGGACCTTCTCAAGAAGGAAAAGACCTCTTCAAGAAGATAAGGACCTTCTTGAGAAGAACAGGACCTTCTTGAGAAGAACAGGATCTAGAGAAAAACAGGAACTTCTCAATAAGGAAAATACCTCCTTAAGAAGATAAGGACATTCTTGAGATGAACAGGACTTTCTTGAAAAGGAAAAGTCCTTCTTGAGAAGAACAAGACCGTCTTGAGAAGAACAGGACATTTTTAAGAAAAACAGGACCTTTTAAAGAAAAACGGGACCTTTTGAAAAGAACGGGACCTTCTTGAAAAGAACGGGACCTTCTTGAAAAGAACGGGACCTTCTTGAAAAGAACGGGACCTTCTTGAGAAGAACGGGACCTTCTTGAGAAGAACGGGACCTTCTTGAGAAGAACAGCACATTCTTAAGGAGAACAGGGCTTCCTTGAGAAAAACAAGATCTTGAAAAAAATAGGACCTTCCCAAGAAGGCGAAAATCTTGAGAAGAAAAAAACCTTCTCAAGAAGAAAACTACCCCATGAAGAAGGAAAATGACCTCCACAAAAGGAAACGGTCCTACTCAAAGAGGATAATACCTACTCAATTTAATGCTGATTTGTAATTGAAAACTTTACGTAAGGAAATTTTTGGGTCAGTGATAAAAATAATGATAAAATAATATTATGGACCTATTTTTACAAAAGTCAATTTTTTTTTTCTTATTCTCGACGAGTCGATGCTCTCTATGAAGTTGGCTACGAGTTGTGTTGCTGTCAGTCTCAGTTAGGGATATTTTTTGCTTTAAGAACAGGACGAATAAATATTAGAAAGTATTTTAATGAAAAATGATATTAATCTAAAAGTTATCATAAGAGTAAAAGAAAAAAAATGGCTAAAATGAGAGATTATAGGACAATTCTCCGATAAACTAGAAATGTTACAGCAACGCTATGTTTCGGTCCTTTTTTGTGAGAACGGGGCGTCCGATTTGAATGATTCAAAAAACATTCGAACCGTATTGATAGTTCGAATTAAAATTTAATTTAATAGCCAATAAGTCGAATAAAAATATGCAATAATTTAATAAAATACTAAATAAACTTATATACATAATAATTTATCTGCCTCATTGTCAGTTACAACACTAGATGTGGGCCATCATTCAGCAGAAGAAAATCTTCAAAATATAAAAATTTAATAATGATTCTGTGTATATTTGATTTTTATGTTTTAAAGAAATTCTTCTGGTGCATGATGAAATATATCCAAGGTCAAACTAGTAGAAATAAATTATTATGTATCTTTGTTCATGGTTTTTTATTTTACTAATTGGTTGTTTAACATGTTTCAACGTCAAAAAACCTTTCAAGATTACTAATCCCAATGAAAATTACTAACTATTCTATAATAATTCCAACTTAGTTTTCAAAACGACCAATAATTTTAAATTAACACATTAGTCCATAAATTGGTCCTTAGATATAACTTATATAATTAAAAACGTATATCATTAAAAAGTAATTAATACCGTCCTGTTCTTATTAGAGTAATTTTATAAATTGACAATAGTTGATAAGATTTAGTTAAGAAAAACAGTTATCGATTAATAAATTCAACTATCGATTTCCTCACTACATTGAAATCAGTTATCGATCTACTAAGTTATCGATTTTTCAAAAACCCTAACGACACAAATAAGTAGAGTACTTGGTACCATATCTTAACATATAGATTTGTGCAAAACCCTAAAGTACTTGTGGAATAATATGTTATTTAATATCCATACAAGATGTACTCGTACAAAATATTTTGGTGCACATGACTCAGAAGTCTTTTAAATTCAGTTTTTTTTTCCGAGCACATCTTGTAAGGATACAGTACATATAAATATATATAATTGTGTGTGTATTTTTATAAATTTGACATTTATCTAGCTTAAAATCTAAAAGCACATACCGTAATGACACGAATATTGGTTTGATTGTTCTTAATTACCCTACGATTAAAATTTAATTATTAAAAACTATCAATTAATTAATTAACTATATTTTAATGTTAGCAATAATTTTGGAAGTATATTAAACTTAGCAACCGAACTGATTTATTTTGAGTCAATAAAGGACTATCGAGGAAATGATTTAGAGATGAGATGATATTTTTATAAATAAGTTTCAATTATTTCTGTCTCTAAATTTATCCTTGATGTCCTTGTTGACCCAAAGCCAATGTACTCTTAACGCATTTTATGCAATTTAAAAAATCCTTGTAATATTTATATATAATTTTTTAAAAAGTAGCAAATATCATTTAAATTATTATAAAAAAATAGTTAAATTATAAAATGCCAACGTTTATCTAATAAAATGCAGTGATCTCCGTTTGATCTGAAACGAGAAACAATACAAAATTACTCATCATAAAACTACACAACATATTATGTGATTCATGTAAGTCTTTTTATCTCAAACCATTATATCTGTATCTAGGGTGCGAGCATCTTGGACAACTCCTCGTCCTGCAGACATCCTTTCAGAAATTCCTCCTGGGTCAGTTGTCCGTCGTTGTTCTCGTCCATTTTGGCAAAAATGTTTTTGGCCCTCTCCTCTGCGGAATCTGCTGGCCTATTCGAGGAGCATGCGCCTAACATGTCGTAGATGGCCTGAGAGAATAAAGGATAAAATATAGTTATTTATATAAAACATCTTAAATAATAGGAACAATATTTTTGTATATATTCATTTTTCACGGATCTCTATTTTCTAATCTATGCCTTTCACTCTCTCTTTATCAAATCAAATTACGTTTTAATCTGTCAATAGTTAGTACCACGCTCTCTTTCTTTTTCTCTTTCATACACTCTTATCTATAATTTTATCTATATGTTCTTATTTTACTGTTTTTCTATTAATCTAGCTATCTAATGATCTATTGATTTATCTATCAATTAATACATTAATCTATCAATTTATCAATTTTTATGTTACACTTCCACTTTTTAACTATTTTTTAACTTTACTGCTTTCTTACATTTATTAATCTATTGATATACCTACCTATCTATCTATTTTTCTATCTATCTGGCTTCTTTCTCTATTTATATATTAATCCATATATCTTTCTTTTTCAATCACTCTACATATCAATCAAACTATTTTTTCTCCATAACTCTCTTGCTGTCAATTTATTTACCTGTCTCACTCTCTCTCACCTTCTATGTCTTTTTCTATCTATCTCTTTCTCTCCAACTCTATCTCCATCTCTCACTTGCTTTCTCTCTATACCATTTTTTATTTCTCTCTAACTCTCACTCTTACACTATTTTTGTTTCTCTGCCTCTGTCCCTATCTCTCTTACTTTATTTTTATATCTCTGCCCCTGTCTCTAACTCTCTGCTACTACTTGTTTTCCTCTATACCTCCATCTCTGTAAATCACACTGCATCTATTATTGGTTTAATTTTCATATCCATCACTATATTAAACACATTTTCAAAGAATCATATTGACTTCTTATCAAATTATTACTTTTTCTCTTTATTTCTATCTATCTAATTCTCTCTATATCCATAACTTTAGCTCTAAATCTATCTATATCCATCTCTCTATTGCTCTCTCTATCTCATCCTTTTGTCTCTAACTCTCTTACTCTATTTCTATTTCTAGGTCTCTGTCTCTATCTCTCTTACTTTATTTCTATCTGTAGGTCTCTGTCTCTATCTCTCTTACTTTATTTTTATATCTATGCCTCTGTCTCTATCCCCCTGTCTCTATCTCTCAGTTTTTACTTGTTTTCCTCTGTATCTCTATCTCAGTAAATCAAACTACATTTTTTATTGTTTTATTTTTCAACAAGTTTCATATTCTTTACGGTGTTAACACATTTTTAAAAAATCATATTGACTTCTTATTAAATTATTACTTTTCCACTTTATTTCTATCTATATCTTTCTTTCTATCCCATACTTTTGTCTATTTAACTTACTGTATTTCTATCTCTCAGTCCCTATGTCCCTGTCTCTATCCCTCTTACTCTAATTCTATATCTAGGTCTTTGTCTCTATCTTTCTTGCGTTATTTCTATCTCTACCTCTCTATTTCAACTTGTTTTTCTCTATGTCTCTATCTCTGTAAATCACACTAATTTTTCATTATTTTATTTTTCAACAAGTTTAGCATCTTTCACGATGTTAACACATGTTTAAAGAATCATATTGACATCTTATTAAATTATTACTTTAACACTTCATTTCTATCTATCTCTTTCTCTCTATCTAAATCGCTTTATCTCGAAATCTATCTTCACCTCTCTCTTGCTTTCTCTCTATCCCATCCTTTTGTCTCGATTTCTCTTACTCTATTCATCTCTCTGCCTCTATCCCTCTTACTCTAATTCTATCTCTAGGTCTTTGTCTCTATCTCTCTTACTTTATTTCTATCTCTGTCTTAATCTCTCCGTTCCTACTTGTTTTTCTTTACGTCTCCATTTCTATAAATCCCATTGCATCTCTTATTGTTTTATTTTTCAACAAGTGTAGCGTCTTTCACGATGTTAACACATTTTTAAAGAATCATATTGACTTGTTATTAAATGATTACTTTTCCACTTTGTTTCTATCTATATCTTTCTTTCTATCCCATCCTTTTGTCTATTTATCTTACTCTATTTCTATCTCTCTGTCTCTATCCCCTGCCTCTATCTCTTTTAATCTAATTCTATCTCTAGGTCTCTGTCTCTATCTCCCTTACGTTATTTCTATCCCTGTCTCTATCTGCTGTCCCTACTTATTTTTCTCTATCTATCTCTGTAAATCAAACTACATCTTTTATTGTTTTTTCAACAAGTTTCACATCCTTCACGATGTTAACACATTTTTAAAGAATCATATTGACTTCTCATTAAATTATTACTTTTTCATTTTATTTCTATCAATCCTATCTAAATCTATCTATATCTATCTCTCTAGCTTTCTCTCTATCCCATCCCTTTGTCTCTATCTGTCGTACTTTAGTTATATCTCTCTGTCTCTGTCTCTATCCCTCCTACTTTATTTCTATCTCTGTCTCTATCTGCTGTCCCTACTTATTTTTCTCTATCTATCTCTGTAAATCAAACTACATCTTTTATTGTTTTATTTTTCAAAAAGTTTCACATCCTTCACGATGTTATCACATTTTTAAAGAATCATATGGACTTCTTATTAAATTATTACTTTTTCACTTTATTTCTATCTATCTCTTTCTTTCTATCTCCATCCATCATTTGTGTTTATCTATCTCCCTGCCTCTATCCCTCTCACTCTAATTCTATCCCTAGGCCTCTGTCTTTATCCTTCTTACTTTATTTCTAACTCCCTATCTCTATCTCCCTATCTCTATCTCTCTGTTCCTACTTGTTTTCTCTATATCTCCATGTCTGTACTTCTCACTCTCTGCCTCTGTCCTATTTCCTTCTCTATATCTCTCAGCCTTTACATGTTTTTCACTATGTCTCTATCTCTGTAAATCGCACTAATATTTTATTGTTTTATTTTTCAACAAGTTTAGCATCTTTCATGATATTAACACATTTTTAAAGAATCATATTGACTTCTTATTACATTATTACTTTTTCACTTTATGTCTATCAATCCTTTTCTCTCTATCTCCATCGCTTTATCTCTGAACCCATCTATATCTATCTCTCTCTTGCTTTCTTTCTATCCTATCCTTTTCTCCCTATCTGCCGTATTCTATGTCTATCTCTCTGTCTCTATCCCTCTTACTTTATTTCTATCTCTCTGTCTCTGTCTCTATCTCTCTGAACCTACTTCTTTTTCTGTCTCTATCTCTTTAAATCTCACTGCACCTTTTATTGTATTATTTTTCAACAAGTTTCACATCCTTCACGATGTGAACACATTTTTAAAAAATCATTTTGACTTATTAAATTATTATCAATAGTAGAAATAAAAATCTAAAGCCTAAAATATAGAGTATGATCAGTATTTACAAAAGGTCATATTGACCTTTTGGTTAATTTAATACTGGAGTCGATATCTCTGTTATAAAATCGTCATATCAAATATCTATTTTCCAGAGCCATTAACGTCACGCGACACAAATACGAAAAAAACAGTTTTTAAAATAAACAGGACGCTACAATATATATATATATATATATATATATATATATATATATATATATAAATATGGCGTTTTGCACTTTGCACAAGCGACCCGTAATTATGTGTAAAGTAATCGATAGAATAAAAACAACGGCGCCCCCCTGGAATGTGAGGGAGCACCCTCACACCACGATGAAGAGTTCATACACCTCGTCGACGCAGTGGCGCTTGGGGGGTAGGCAAACATATATACTAATGAATAAATGTAAATTCATGCAAGTTTTTTTTTATCAATTGATAATAACAATAAAATCTAGTGGTGCTTAAGGGAAATTGCTGGAAACAACTGGACCTGTCTCTGTCGAAAACTAATCAGCACGTCTCCTCATAAGTAGGAATCGAATGCTTTTTGAATCATTCAAATCGGTTGATCCGTGCTCCCAAAAACGTGGACAAAAAATTTTATCCATACATATGCACACACACATATTCATTTTTTCTAAGGTATGCCAAAATGTTCGGAAACCTCTGAAACGTAAAGATATGCAAAAATTCTTAAGACTTATTATATTTTTTGCCAAATACTTGAAAAGCCGTGTAACTGATACTACAATAAAAAGTTTTGTAACCTAAAAATGTTACAGGTATCACAAAGTATATACATATAATTACAGAGGATTATAAATATTCTTTGAAGTCTGCGCAAATTATTTTCGGAATCTTTTGTACATCAAAATATTTAAATTATAAAAATAAATTTTCCGCCATGTAAAAAACTAAAATAAATATTTATATACACAGACTCCTAATAGATTACACTAATTTTAAATTTAAACAACTCAAATTATAAATAAAATCAATCGCCAGATAACAAATATCGTAAAGATTTTATTCTCTTATGTTGATGAGAATCCTCTTATTTATTATTATTATTATTATTATTAGTTTCGGAACATAAAATTTATAGCTCGTCTGTCGTTAATTTCTGGAATACATAATAAACCTTGATGAGAAATTTTATAGGTTATGATACTTTACTGTCTACATAATCGTCAGAACAATATTGATCGAAATTCAAAAACACTATTATATTGCTAATTAAAACTTATGTCCATTATTAACACAGTACATTTAAGGATCGATTCTGCTGCATAACAAACCAATGTTATGGCAAGGCTACGTTACGAAGAAATTTCCATATAAAATCGTTCTGAATATTGTCAAAAGCCATGTGATTGCTATGCTGTCAGGCGTTTTTCTCTTATCACCTAGAACCGCACAAATGTAAAAAAAGCAATATTATATAACAGGGTCTTTCTGATCCCTGATAACATACAAGTGACGTTGCAGTTTATGTGTTTTTAGCCTGAATGCACAGCAAATACATGACATTTTGACAGTATTCAGTATGATTCAGTAGCATAATGTATGGAAGTTGAAGCTTAACATGGCCTTGCCATAATATTGGTCTGTTGTGCGGCAGAATCGGCCCATAAATTAAGTAAAAGTGTGCAAAGATTTTTGCTAGATTGAGATTGTGTCACCTTAGTGAGGCCATATCATATTTTACATAAATTAAGGAAAGTCTGAAGATCAAAATCTTATCTTAGATCCATTCCAATAATAAATTTCTATTTCTTTCATCTCAATTGACATAAATTTAACAATCTCTCTCTCCTATGGTGAAAAAAAGACTGGGAACGAAGTAAGTGAAATGAAGTTATATTTATAAGGTGGTAAGGTATTTATAAGGTAGACAACTTCCATAAGGTGGACTTCTATAAGGTTCTTTCTGCGTTATTTCTTTGTTATCTTAATACCAAAGATAAGAGAGCTAGATTGATGGACCGATTCTCCCGCACAAAAGACCAATGTTATGGCAAGGCTATGAAGAACTTTCCATACTAAATATTGACAAAGCCATGAGGTTGCTATGCAGTTAGACATTTTTCTCAGGTTGTCAGATAGAAAACCTAACCTAGAAACCGCACAAATGTCAAGAAAACGATCTTAGATAACATAGTCTTTGTGACCTAGCTCCATAACATATAAGTGACGTTGCAGTTTATGTGAAAAACGCCTGAATGCACAGCAAATACATGACATTTTGACAGCATTCAGTATAATTCAGTAACATAATGTATGGAACATGGCCTTGCCATAATATTGGTCTGTTGTGCGGCAGAATCGGCACATAAATTAAGTTAAAGCCTACAATTTTTTTTTGCTAAATTGACGTTATGTCACCTCTCTCCATTTCTTCCCTGAGTGAGGTTGCATCATATTTTACAAAAACCAAGTAAAGTTTGAGGATCAAAATCTTATCTTAGATCCATTTCAATAATTAATTCCTGTTTCTTCCATCCCAATCGACATAAATTTGTCAGTCTCTCTCACCTATAGTAAAAAAAAGACTGGGAACGAAGTAAGTGAAATGAAGTTATATTTATAAGGTGGTAAGGTATTTATAAGGTAGACAACTTCCATAAGGTGGACTTCTATAAGGTTCTTTCTGTGTTATTTCTTTGTTATCTTACCGATATGGACCGATTCTCCCGCACAAAAGTTATGGCAAGGCTATGAAGAACTTTATATACTAAATATTGACAAAAGCCATGTGGTTGCTGTGTAGTCAGGCGTTTTTCTCAGGTTGTCAGATAGAAAACCTAACCTAGAAACCGCACAATGTCCAGAAAACTATCTTAGATAAAATGCTGTTTCTGATCCAGCTCCATAACATACAAGTGACATTGCAGTTTATGTGTTTTTAGCCTGAATGCACAGCAAATACATGACAGTATTCAGTATGATTCAGTCGCATAATAAGTTAGTTGGAGTGTAACATGCCTTGCCACAACATTGGTCTGTTGTGCGGCAGAATCGGCCCATAAATTAGGCCAAACTGTGCAAAGTTTTTTGCTAGATTGAGGTTATGTCACCTTCTCATTTCTTCCAAAACCAAGTAAAGTTTGAAGATCAAAATCTTATCTTAGATCCATTCCAACGATTAATTCCTGTTTCTTCCATCTCAATCGACATAAATTTGTCAATCTCTCTCACCTGAACGATCTTTGTCATTTCCTGAATGTCAATGACACCATTTCCGTCCACATCGTACATCCGGAACGCCCACTTCAGCTTTTCTTCCGGAGTCCCCGACGACGTCACGTCTATCGCCAATAGAAATTCCTGGAGAAAAAGTAAAAATAAATAATGTACAAAGGTAAATCATTATTGGGACGTGTGTGTATGCACCCTTATAATAGTTTTATATAAAGTTAGAAGCTAAAGGTGCGTACACACTAAAGGTTTTGATGAATTTGTCGTTTACTTTGTTAAAATTATGCAGACATACTAATGGCTTTTGTAATTTGAGGCTTTGGCTTTATCACAAAATATCAATTTATACTAGGGTGTAAATCCGAACAAATGCAACGGAAGTCCGTTACGCTCAAACTGTTCGTCATTCGCTCTATATGAAATCATTTCAATACGGGTCGATTGTGATTAGTTGCCGTGTAAGTGAAAAGAGATCTGTCGTTATATGCGTACCGGCATCAGTCAAATCGGCATAGATAAATAAACATTTTAAAGTTACATCGCAGTACAAATCTGTATTTAATGAAAAATGCCTGAATCAGAAGAATACTTTACCCTGTTCCTTGAAAATAATAAAACAAATGAAACATTTATGCCCTGTACTAAACGTAAGTTCATTGATTAGAAATTATTTCTATATTATACCTAGTTTCTATAAATCTTTGAAGTTAGTAAAATGGAAAATATTTTTTTGGCAAAACAGATATTATAGCTGTTCAAAGAATGAGATTATATCGCCAGCGAAAAAGTAAAAAAAAAAATCATTCAGTCAGTGAATGTATGTTAATTTTAATTCTTCAAACACAAATATTACATGATGATGAGTGAAATTGTGAAAACAATATTTTTTAGGCGTTGTTTAACATAATCCACTATTTGAACGAATATTATAGAATTTATTAATCAGCAATTACTTAATTTCTCTAATGATGATTCAAGTGGTAAACGATAATTACAATGACAAACCGATCATGTCATATTTGAAGTATGACTTTAATCACATTATTGTTTTTAAATATTATTTACATATTTTAAATGCTATAATAAATATTTAATTTATAATTTATAATTATATAAATGTGTATAACGGTTGACACTAATAAATGTGTGCTATCTTAGATGTTTTTATTAGTTTTTTAATTTGAATAAAATTTTGACGGTATTTTAAATCCCTTTGATGCTTTATCACAAAATAGTAAAATAAATCCGTTCAATATGATTTTATTAGAATTTAAATAAAAAACTAAGAACGCTGTATGTTCAAATGCGTTTTTGAAGTATACCGAGTTGCTATATGGACTTATAAAATAAAATAAAATTCTAGATAATTTAGTTCTAAATAAACTTGCCAAATACATCATCTATATTACTGGAATAGTTCAAAAGTTATACGAGATATAATAAATAAAAACACTGTCAAGGTCGCCTGGACTATAAATAGTACATCGGGTCGATTTATATGTTCTAATATTGTATATTTTAAATATGCATTCCATATCCATAAGGTTATGTAAAGAAATGTCTAAATCGTAAAAATGTCATCGTTTAAATGATTTTCTCATGTTATTTTATTGTTCGTCATAAATTAGTGTAATGGAACTGGATCGCGTGCCCTAACCTATAAAACTATTAAAGAATCAAGGCTCTCGGGCTCCACTGAGCACCCAGGGCCCCATTATAGACATTACTGTCGTGGCCGATGGTATTGTTATTATTATTGATATTGATATTGTTGTTTCGATTCCTGGGAAAATTTGTGCAAAATTGAATAATCTCTATTGAAGGTAGACAATTGATTTAAGTGCATTTGATTTTAATATTGTCTATGGATCTTAAATGATTCGATTAATAATAATGATGTGTTTGGAAAATTTGTTCAAAACTTTATCATCTACAATATTGTCTAATATAATGATAACCTACAACAACTCGGAATACTTTAAAATCGTGTACTATAATGAGACTACATGAACCAAGTGCAACGACATCTTTTATCGAACTTTGTGCACTATCTATTATATAAAAATAAGTCAAGTTTTCCTTCCTGACGATATGACTCCAGAACGCACGAACCGATTTCGACGATTTTGCATTCGTTGGAAAGGTCTCGGACTCCGTGAAGTTTATAGCAAAGAAAATTGAAGAAAGATCTCAACAGAAAAGTGGAAAACACTTTTTCTTTTTCACATACAGCGTAATCTCTGATACTTAGTATGTACTACAAACTAATATTTTTTGTTTGACTGCTACTCATTTGTTTGACAGCTACTCTTTGTTCTCTGCTCAGTTAATTTCATGTGACAAACCGGCATTGTGTTCACTGTGAAATTGTGCAAAAAAAGTAAAAAAATAAGTTATTCGTTTCCTATCATTTCAATTGGAAACCATCAAATCAATCACGTGTATTGTTCAAATTTTTATTCAATTTCAACATTAGGCAATTTTTTTCTTCATCTTTTAATCACCAAACGAAATGTTACATAAAATGAAACCATCTGGTGGTGAAACGGAGTTCGCCCGGTTTGCTAGTTTGTTATAAACATGGTAGCATTTGTACCATTCGATTAATACGAATGACGCATTTGGATAATTTGTACAAAATTAAATTATCTCGGTTAACTTTAAAACCACAAATTAAATCATTTTTTTTGAAAATTACGTAAAAAATAAAGAATATCGATAATTGTGTATTTGATAATAGATCTGTATCAGTGTGTATTGACCCCTGCCCTGAAAAGCTACGGGGTTCCAAAAATAGAGTTTGTTCCGAGGAACAAGTTTAATGATTTAACAATATTTTTAGAAGTTTGCACTTGATTAACACAAATCAAGTGGTGCAGTACTCCGCGGCGCGAGGTAAACTAAATTTCTTAAGACAAGGGATTTCAACAAGCCATTCTGAAGCGCTTGACCCTAAATTGGAAAAAAAACATGTGAGTACTTGAACCATTTTGTCTAAGCCTTCTCATATACCAAGTGATAGCCAAAATTCAAAAGCCATTTGATATAATTCGGTAAGATCTTGCTTTGATTAGTATTGTGCAACGATCGGCCAAGCCGTTTTTGTAAAAATTAACATAAAATGAAAGTAAAAGAAAAATGAAAAAATAAATTATGTCCTATAACTTGTATCGACACCATTTGTATCGTTGTCTATAATAACTTTTACAAAATATTTTTACATCATACATCAATTTAGTATAACACCTGCAACTTCCAAACCATTCGATAAATATGAATGGTGTATATGAGAAATTCGTTCTGAATTAAATAATATACAACATTGTCTAACGTAACAAGGTCCTGCAACAACTCTGTGTACTTCTACAGCTCTTATAAATTGTTTATAATAACTTTTATCAGATTTTTTACTTCATACATCATTTTAGTATAACTCGTATAACTTCCTAACCATTCGATTAATATGAATGGTGTATATGAGAAATTTGTTCTGAATTGAATAATCTACAACATTGTCTAACACAACAAAGACCTACAACAACTCGGTCTACTTATAAATCGCTATAAAACCAATAAAAAATATTGTTTTTTTTGCATTTTTTATTATTATCAATTATTATGTTGGTACGAAACCTTGTCTCTATATTCAGAGCGATTAGGATAAAACGTCTTTTTTTGTTTTTGAAAACAAAATCCTTATTATTATATTAAATCATCTACAACATTGTCTAATACAACGAAGTCCTACAACAACTGTGTACACTTATAAATCGCTATAAAACCAATAAAAAATATTGTTTTTATGCATTTTTTATTATTATCAATTATTATGTTGGTACGAAACCTTGTCTCTATATTCAGAGCGATTAGGATAAAACGTCTTTTTTTGTTTTTGAAAACAATGAGTATCCTTATTATTATATTAAATCATCTACAACATTGTCTAATACAACGAAGTCCTACAACAACTGTGTACACTTATAAATCGTTATAAAACCAATAAAAAATATTGTTTTTTTGCATTTTTTATTATTACCAATTATTATGTTGGTACGAAACCTTGTCTCTATATTCAGAGCGATTAGGATAAAACGTCTTTTTTGTTTTTGAAAACGATGAGTATCCTTATTATTATATTTTTGGAACAAAGAAATGTAAAATATACGAAAATAATGAAAGGATGAATATAAATGTCTACGGGGTGCTCCGCCACAGGAGACTCCTTTAACTAAGGTAATTTATTCCGATACATACAATTGAATATATATATATATATATATATATATATATATATATATATATATACAGGTGTATATATACTTATACTTGCGGAATTCGTGATATAATATCTTTTTGTGGCATTTTATTGATTTTCCTTCAAATATACACACAAGGACGTCTAATATATATTTGTTCTTCAAATTGGCCTGATTATGAGTATACGGAATGGTTGTAGAGATTCCAGATGTTAGACAATTTTTTAGATTATTTAATTTTGTACAAATACGCCAAGAACATCATCCATATTAATCGAATGGTTTAAAAGTTACAAGAGATATAATAAATAAATGTACTTGAAATAAATGTAACAAATAAATTTTGTGTCCAATTTAAAACAATTTTGAAAATACTGAGTTGTTATAGGGTCTGTTGTTGTTAGACTATAGATTATTTTATTTTGTACAAATTCTTCTAATACATCATCCATATCAATCGAATGCTTTTCGACTTATGAATATTTTTATGAACCGCAGCATCTTTATAGCGAGTACAATGTCAAAACAAATTAAGAATTTTCGAATGGCGTTTTAAAGTATACAAAGTTGCTGTAGAGGTTTATGATGTTAGACAATGTTGATGCTACTTTTATTTTAAACAATTAACTCTAATACATCATTAATATTAATCGAATGGTTTAAAAGTTGTACAAGATGTACTAGCATGATGCACAAAACAAAAATGTAATACTTTCTTGAACTCCTCAAGATAATTTTGTTAATCATTCTTTATTCATTAATCATTAATTAGTTGCTTTTCAATATAATTTTATTAGAAAATATTATAGATGATTTTTTTTAAAACAAATTCACCAAATACATCATCTATATTTATCGAATTGTTTAAAAGTTATACGAGATATACTAAAATGATGCACAAGTTAAAAACTAATTTGCGATTTGATTTAAACAATGTGTGAAGTGCATTAAAAACCTTACCAATCATCTGGTGTCACAAAAAATCAAAATAACTATCTAAATATAGATAACTAGATTTGAATACTTTAAGCTATCTAACTTGTATCAATCTGTATAAAAAGTTCCAAAAACTTGTTACCAATCACCTATCTACCACCAAAAACTCCTATCCAAAACTTTATCATTATTTTTTCTCCTAATACAGTATAGTGATCCAAAGTATTTTAATTGATTCAAATTAATCGGGGAAACTTAATTTAACAAGAAGTTCTAAAACTTTCGCAAAAGTTGTTTCGAAACTGTAACTTTTCCAAACAGATTTATTTCGTGTCGTTTAAAGTTTTAACAACACGACAGAAAGTTTCTAGCTCCGTGAGTTGTGTAATCGTTATAAATTTATAAATTTATAATGATGAAGTGCTACGTAACTCCGTAGGGATCAGACACATGGACACTAAGATTAATATTGACTCAAAAGCTTCCGAGAACTACGTTTTTGATGAAGAACGAACCAAAAATAAAACTCTACTGACAAGCAAACTATATATCAACTTGCAAATAAAGTCTACATGTGGAGAATGAATCCGTACGGATCAGAGATATGGACTATTGAAAGCAGCAGGCAAGTACAACCTTCAGATCTCCGAGAATCCTCGCTTTGGATTATTTCTGCTATCAAATGAATATGATTTGAACCAAAATAAAATAGAAGTTTACTGACTGTTGACGACCAAAAAGTTGAATTCTATTGACGAGCAAACTATTTATCAACTTTCAGAAAAAACTGATGAAGTCTACAAGTGGAGAATGAATCCGTACGGATCAGAGATATGGACTATTGAAAGCAGCAGGCAAGTACAACCTTCAGATCTCCGAGAATCCTCGCTTTGGATTATTTCTGCTATCAAATGAATATGATTTGAACCAAAATAAAATAGAATTTTACTGACTGGTGACGAACAAAAAAATAGAACTCTGCTGACGAGAAAACTATGTATCAAATTGCATAAAAAAGTGATGAAGTCTATATGTGGAGTATGAATCCGTACGGATCAGAGATATGGACTATTAAAAGCAGCAAGCAAAAACAACCTTCAAATCTTCATGAATCCTTGCTTTGAATTATTTCTGCTAATGAATGAATATGATTTGAACCAAAATAAAATAGAAGTTTACTGACTGTTGACGACCAAAAAGTTGAATTCTACTGACGAGCAAACTACTTATCAACTTTCAGAAAAAACTGATGAAGTCTACAAGTGGAGATTGAATACGTACGGATCAGAGATATGGACTATTGAAAGCAACAGGCAAGTACAACCTTCAAATCTCCGAGAATCCTCCCTTTGTATTATTTCTGCTATCAAATGAATATGATTTGACTCAAAATAAAATATAATTTTACTGACTGCTGAGGATAAAAAAATAGAACTCTGCTGACGAACAAACTATGTATCAAATTGCAGAAAAAACTGATGAAGTCTACATGTGGAGAATGAATCCGTATGGTTCAGAGATATGGACTCTATTAAAAGCAGCAGGCGAGAACAACCTTCAGATCTTCGAGAATCCTCGCCTTGGATTATTTCTGCTGATGAATGACAACGATTTGAACGTGAAAAGTAGAACTCTACTAAGGAGCTAACTGATATCTAATCAGAGATGTGGACTCTATCAAAAGCAGCAGGCGAAAACTAACTTCAAATCTTCGAAAATCCTCGCTTTGGAGTATTTCTGCTGATGAATGATAACGATTTGAACGTGAAAAGTAGAACTCTACTAAAGGGCTAACTGTATTTGATCAGAAATGTGGACTCTATCAAAAGCAGCAGGCGAAAACAACCTTCAAATCTTCGAGAATCTGCGCTTTGGAGTATACCTGCTGATGGATGAGTATGATTTGAACGTGAAAAAAAGAACTCAAATAAGGAGTTAATTGATATCTGATCAGACATGTGCACTCTATCAAAAGCAGCAGAACAATCTTCAGATCTTCGAGAATATGCGCCTTGGATTATTTCTGCTGATGAATGAATATGATTTGAACATAAGAAAAAATAGAACCCTACTGACGAGTAAATTGTACATAGACTTGGAGACTTCATCTCGCAATATCTAGAATATACAGGTCAGATACTTGGAATCTATATAAAGCAGTAAACGAGCATTATTTCGAGATTTAGACAACTACGATTTAGACAAGTAACATTGCTGACGAAATGGATTCGACCAAAAAAAGTAAACTATACTGGCGAGCATACTTAAAATTCTACTGGTGATCAAAAACAAATTCTATCAGTTACCTTAAAGTCGATATATCCATTCTTGTCCATGTCAAATGTCCGGAAGACATGGTCGCAAAACTCTTCCGCATTTCCGCTTGGGAAGAACATTTTGTACATATCGACGAACTTCGCAGGAGTCAGTCGGCCATTCGGACAGTCTTGCTGCAAAAAAAAAACAGTTAAAACAATTCTATGGTACGCGGCTATCTTCACGCTAATAGTTAAAAATACAATTGGTACTACGCGACATACAAAGCTATGTTCATGTTTAACATTTTTGCTTACAGTTCGGCAAAGCCTCTTAAATAACTCAATAACAACCTACATTCCAAAGTCATTGCGTATTTTCTTTATTCCCTTCTCGAGTACTTACATAACTACAATTTAAGTTACGCCCCATTGGCCCCCCCATCGTGGCAAATGTTCATTGAGCACGCTCTCGTTCGACTTTTGAAGCGTTGCCCTAATTATATTTCACAAATTTGATTCGACGGGAGAACCCTTCTCCGCCCCCCGATGTAATGTTTGCCGCAGCACCCCTTTTGAGGAATTGTGTGGAAATACTCTACATGGGGGGCTGAGGAGGTTGAAAAACTATTACGCGCGGTAATAATTATACGGTAGGGGGGCATCGGTACAATAAATATGGAGTGTGGCGCTATTTTAACACAAGAGAAGGTAGTAATTAGATGGTAGATATAATTTGTGAAAATTTAGAGTTACTGTTTTTTTTAAGAAATCGATACTTAATACCAGTGTGCACTATAACGATACAGTCATTTTCCAAGAGTTTGTACCATAACAGATTTTTTCATTTACCACCAGTGTAAACTACAATCTTACTACAATAGTGCACTGCTCTTAGTATTGACCATATTGCTATAGTTTTAGTATAACAATGATTGTGGTATTTACCTAAGAGAATTGTAGCATTAAATGCGAAATAATAATGCAATGCATAATAGTGGAATATTTCACTGCACATTGGTCAAAACTACTGTAGTTCATACCGGTGGTAAACACAAACCCTGTTAAATTGAACACTGGTGGTAAGAGCAGACAAAATTGCTGTGACACATGTGCCGAATGCACAAAATGTATTAAACACTGGTGGTAAAATGCTCTAAATGGTTGAATTTAGGGCACACTAATGATAAATGCTAATTAATTTAGAGTACACTGGTGGTAAATGTTAACTGAATTATTGCGCACACTGGTAGTAACAGCTAATTGAACTGTAATGCGTATGGCGGTAAATGCAGATACCGTAGAGCACTCTAGTGGTGAATGCTAAAAGATTTGTAGTGAACTCCAATGGTACATGAAGAAACTATCGTGATGCATACTGGTGGTAAATGCAGGAACAGTTGTAGTGCACACTAGTATTAAATGCAGAAGAAGTTGCAGCGCACACAAGTGGCAAATGATAAAAGAATGTTTGTGCTCACTAGCAGTGAATATGATAATGTTGAAAAACTATAGTGTATTGTATGTATAGTATGGCATAACTGTGGTAAATGCAGGCAAGATGGCAGTGCATCGATGATAACTGCAGACAAGATTGTGACTGGTAGTAAATGCGGAAAAAACATGTTACGCTTACAGGTGGTAAACGCTCGTACATGATGAATACTATTACAGATCAAACTAGTGATAAATATGACAATCAATATAGGGCACATTAATGATAAATCTGTATAAACGTAATATAACCGTTGGCAGTCATACAAACTAAAATGCGAAGTTCTAAACCAAGAACAAATCCTCGTAGAACCAGCAATACTGGGTACTAATAAATTAAAGAATACCAACAATACCGACTACTGATAAATCAAAGGATTACGACAAACAATCATTTTAATTAATTACTCGGGCACCAGAGACACCAAAGAGAATATGTGCCCCAACCCTTGTCCTTTCCATCCTCTCACCTTAAACCCTTTGTACCACTCCTTGATGGTCGCCTCATCGTACCTCGTGTGCGACTTCAGGAAATCCATGTCTTCCTTCGTCAGCTTGTCTTTACTCGACAGGCAACCCATGGCGAGAGGGTTCCTCGACTGTTATCGGCTCTGCAAAGATAAGGAGACACGGAATAAATAAATAGATAAATAATAAACAATTGTTATTAATTCTGACAAGTTGAATCCACTTTACAAATCATCTGCTAGCATAAAAAAGCTATGCAAATATATAATTCATATCAATCGAATACCTGACAGATTATGTGATATTTATAAAACACATACACACAAATTATATATATATATATATATATATATATATATATATAATATATATATATATGTATATATATATATATACATGCGTGTGTGTAAATATGTGTGTATGTGGAGTAATACAATTTTCGAATAGAAATGCCTTATGGCTTTGCCCACACACAAGTCAAACATTTCTGGGTGAAAGGTTAAAAGGTTGTCCGGACCCTTTTAATTAGGTTAAGGTTCGGGTTTAGGAAATGCATACCGATCTCTATATAAATATATAATATATATATATATATATATATATACATATAAATTTGAAGAAGCTTTATATATTTAATCTCATATGTAGTACAAAGTTATTTAAACAATTTCACTCCATGTGGTTATGTTGTCAACATTGCAACGTGAACATATCCCTTTAAAGAAAGATGGCTTTCTTGTGATAAAAAAAAAACTGGGTTGGATACATGTCCATGAGCAATTACGCATGTACAATGTGATTGGGTTGTAAAACGGTTTCGATTATAATCCAATGTTAAAAACTAGTTTTTCATTTGAATCAAGATACTTGAGGCACGTTTTGATATAACAATGAGTGAAAGTTGCAATTTTTTGTCACGTACTTTTTATTTATTTGCATGATGCGACATAATTGTAAGGCTGGGTATTCACTTTGAATAAAGATGACTTCATTAAGTTGCGTCATTCATTCGCATATGGCGCTGCAGTCGCTTTGGCAAAGTTGTAATACATGTAAACTGTCATGGCGACCGGCATGAAGTTAGTTTCATAAACTTTCGGTTATTAAATATAAAATTTGTGAATATTGATTAGTTGAATTAATTTTATTACTATTTATATGTCAAAAAAAAACTATTAGATCTATAACATTTTACATATTTACAAAGTTCATTTTTTAATGTTATATGAGGTTATATTTTCACAAAGAGTCTCAAAGTTGTCTAAAAATTCATATTTCTACACAAAAATAATTAAAAAATTAAAGTAACAAATTCTTCAAAAAAAAAAAAAATCTTCACAACTATCACAATCAATTATCTCACTTTTTCCTTCTTATTAAACTCTGCGTAGGATGGAGCACCCCAAGGGGCACCGAAGGGGGCCGCTCGGTTAATTAATTTTTTCACGAACAAACGAGTGGGGTTGATGCCGATGTAGAATTAAATTAAATCACAAACAAATGAAAATTACAAACTTCTAGAGAGATAAACTTGAAGGTTATGTACAAGTAATTCTAAAATTTTTAATTACAGTTCAGCACCATATATCTGTTGGTACAAACTTTGTATGCTGATTTTTTAAATACAATAAAAAAAGTTTTAACCTATACATATATTGATAAACAAGAACCGTAGCCTTCGGGGGATTATATTTAACTTTTTGCCCCCTTGGGAGCACCATGCGGTGCTACGGTACCCCCCATGGGGCCAGACTAATGGGGACGGTGTTAGAGAAACTAGACCTAAACATACATACATACGACATACGACATGGTGGTCTGCCCGAAGGCAAGTCTAGTGGTGTAGTAAAACTCCTTTATTTAAGGAGTGTTTAATATTAGAGTTTATCCATTGTCTGAACGCACCGCAGTGCCTAGAAAAAAAACATATATGGCTGCAGCACGATGCCAGGCCGTTGAATGTACGGTATCGAGCCGAAGAACGAATCCTTTGATATTTAATTTTGAGATATTTTATATATAATATATAATAGGTATAGAAATATGTATATGTGTAAAACATATATTGCTTCTGCATGATGCAAATTATTGACACAAGGCAAAACTATTGTGAAATATGTATTATTATATATAAATGAGTATATGAGTATGAGTTTATCTAAATTGTCATGTGAAATACGCGATGGTGTCAGGTTTGTCGGGTATGTGGGCTCGAACCGAGTATCTCGTAGACGCAATACGAATACTCGCTACATATACACGTGTTTGTGTACGTTTTCCTCTTCTGGCTCTGTAATGAAATTTTCCTCCATTTTCATTTCGCGAACGAGAAAAATGTTTCGCAAAGTAATTTGCGCAAATTGTAATTTTATCCCTTGTAAGGCTTCTTCAAATGGACGAACATTTTTATACTCAACGAGTATAATACAAAAATTATACACACACATACATACACACTATGTATATATATTTGTATTTTCTATTCCATGTGTCAATTGTCATTGACACCATATCGATGTCAATGACAACTTCGTCATTGGTTCGTTCAGACGAACCATGTGCTGAATTTTTATCTCCTGATTAATCCGAATTAGTCCGAATCCGTTTTCGGATTCAAATCGCGTTCGGAAACGAAACGAAACTTAAGAAACGTATTTGAAATTATTAATAATACATTCATTATTATTGTTATTGTTAAAACATTTAGAATTGTTTAAATAGATATGGTCGAAAAAAAAAATTATTTCCTTAATTATATTTATGTTATTTTTTAATTTATTGACTCATTCATTCAGTCATTTATTTTGTAATTTTTGTGAAGAAAAGAGTACTAAATATAATATGTGCTTTTGTAACACAAAATTGTCTAATGTAAAATTAACTAAAGAATAGATAGTAGTGAAGTTGACCATCATGAAGTTGACCATCATGAAGTTGACCGACATGAAGTTGACCGACATGAAGTTGACCGACATGAAGTTCGCCAATATGAATTGACTTTATATTGATTAACATGAAGTTGACCAACACAATGTTGCTTTTTTATTAAGGTCTGCATTTGAATTATGTTTATTTATTCGAAAAAGGCATCAGCAAATAAATAATAAAAATGGAATATATATATATATATATATATATATATATATATACTAGCTGACCCGGCAATCGTTGTTTTGCTAAGTAAGGTATATTCTAAACAATTTCTAGAGAATCAAAAATATTAAGTATAAGGATGTGTTATTTGAATGCTATATACAATGAGGTATTATTAACCCCATTAGTTTGTCTATATTTTGTCAATACAATCAAACTGGAAGTTTTATACACTTACTATAGAAAACATGGTATAATCCAATCCAAGTCTTTTTTTGTCTTTCGACTTATTGATTACTTTTGAGAAGTTTCAAGTAACATTCGATGAATTAAAGTAAATTTAATAAAAACTATATATGTAGAGCAGGACTATGCACAAAGGTCCAATTTGACTTTGAGCAAATATTAAAAATATTATATAAATCAAACCAAATATATCACAACAAATAACACATGTCAAACGAACAGTTATCTGACTACAATCAGTAAAGCTGTCAGCTACTTCATCATTGTAGAAAGGTGCTTTTTTGCTGTTTAAAATTTGTCAATTTTAAAATTTGTTATCTAGACTTTTTTACCTATAGGCGGAGTAACTTGTAACGGCCAGGTGACAAACAGGTTTAATGTCTTATTTTAATTTTAAAGGTATTTTACAAAACAATTACATTTTTAACTAATGCTAAAAAACTACCAACTGAAGAAAATACTTTCCTTATGGATTTTCAAAGATTACCGTTTATCTCCCGATAGCAAAGTCTTTAAATCAAGGTTATAGCTGTTCAAATACTGTTGTTAAACAATGCTTAAGTTTACTGATTTTTGACATATCGGTGGTGGACCTTTTTAACCCCGGACCTTCATATATTACTATCCATTCTTCGATAAATTCTGGGAAATTATAACTGGGAAAATGTTATTCGACAAAATGTCCATTTGATCGATACCAAAATTAGCTTCGGAATTTAAATAACATAAATAAAAAATAATATAACCTAGAGAATGTTTTATAAATACCAGTGAGTAAATAATGATACAAATGAGATCTTTCAGAGCTTCGTGTTTGAGAAAAATATGCATAAGTGCATTTTCATATTAACATTTCAAAAAAGTTGATATTTTGAGTTTCTAGTAACACTTGCGGCCCGTTTACTAACGTTTTTGTATGTTAATAAAACTACAAACAAAACTACTTGCTACAATTTAATCATAATTAAATAATATTTACGTAAAACATCCTATTAAACATAATCGAACATCATCTGTCAAAAACGTTTGACATTTCAAGTATTAGCCACCGTCCATTGTTTTATTTACATTACGCTTCAACAAAAATTTTCAAATTAAAAATGTAAAGTTTCTAAAGCGATTTTGAAACTAGCTGTAAGTGGAATTCTGTCTTAAGGCAATTAAGGCATCGTGCCTTAAGGCAAATTGCTGGAACTTCCCGTGCCAAAAATTATTATTTTTTTTAAAAACGATTAACATTTTTGAAAAAAAAAATACTTTGAAAAAATAAGATTTTTCAGAAACTATAAATTGGACAAAAAATTACTTTTCTTTCGAAAAAATTTTTTTAAAAAAAAAAAAAAATATTTTAATTTTTTTTTTGAAAAAAAAATTTTTTTTCTTTATTTTGACATATTGTGGAAGATCTGAACTATTTTTTCAAAGCAATCGTACTGCTTTAACTGCATAGGGACAAAATATAAAGCGCGTAAACGCCGCGTCGCTGTCTAACGCATAAGCATTGGTACGGAACCCATAGGAATGTTAACAAAATGTATACTTATTGTTAAAATCTCTATAAAATATCTGATAATTTGATGTGCATATGTCTAATGATCATTTTTAACCGCCAAATGGCTCATTTTTTTTACTTTTTCCTCCATATCTCCGAAACCGCTAGACCTACCTTCATGAAAATTTTATCGATTCTTCATCTTGTCAATACAAGAATTATTCAAATCGAACGCTCCGTTTTCTTAAAAACTGAGTTACCGTTTTCGGCACTTTTTGCCCC